CAGGAAGCAAACATATATAGGCGGGGATGCTAATGCTTCAGGTCTTATAAGCTGGGAGGAAAAGGAGACATCCTGACAATTTCAGACAGACTGGATAACCAAAAAGAATTTCTCAGATGATTTAGATAGAGCGATTTGCTTCCTTCTGAAGTCTAATATATCACTGCAACCTGGATTCCTGGCTGTCGACTGAAAACGTGCCACGACAAGAAATGTAAAGGTAGCAAGCAAGTAAAATTAAAATAATTAAACCCAGAAAATAATTCTATTAAAACACTCACCCAAACCTCAACAGTGATTGAGAGCAGTTTTCCTGAGGGGAAGTTACTGTTCCTTTTTAAAAACAACAACAAAAGCTTGACTCATGCTGGGGCAATATTAATATTGCTGGAATGGCAATTTGCATATTGCTGTGTCTAACAGCTTGGGAAATGTTTTCTGATTCAGAAATGTACTCCCATCACCATTAGCAGATATGTTTTTTCAGATAAACCAATTCACTAACAGGACGCAATATCCTTTTTCTTGTGAGAATTTTCTTGCCTGCCTTTAAATGTGCGTTGCAGGTTTATAACATGGGCTGCGGAACATCTGGTTTCATTCTGAATGAATATGCAAAAAGTAATCAGTGAAGCTTATTCCCATTTAAATGACAACTGATGGTAATTTACTTTGGCACAGAGTCGCTCCTTGGGAAGAAACTCTGCACACACTTCCTTACTGCCATCTGCTTTGCTATCTGCTTATGGGTTATACCTGCCGAGATGGAAACCCGAACACATGCGGTGCTGAGGTTGTGTTCACACTGCATGTTCAGCCCAGGGTCTGAACCTGGAGCTCCATCCCTAACCTGGCTGGCGTTTGTTTACACTGTTAAACCCCAGCACGTGAGATGGGGCTCCCATCTGGGAAGCCCAAGGTTAAGAGAGAAGCTAAGACGTGAGGGCGAATTTATGCTTTGACACTTATTCACCCATACTCAGCTACACCTACACCGAGGTTAATTTTCATCAGCTCACCACCCCTGAGGCCACCACCCTGCACTGCTCCTCTGGTTGGGTGCCCTATGGCGAGCATTGGTTACGTGCTGGGGCGAGGACCCGGGAGTGACTCACCTGAGAGCCTGAGGACACCTCGCACCTACTTGACTGGGCAGAGACGGGTAAAAAAGAACTCCAAATGCCTGGAGGTCATGCCAGCTGAAGGTGTGCTAGGTTTAACTGCAGTGTGTGTACAGCTCCCCAGCAGCCTCTTCTTCTGCCTTCCTGTGTTCCTCCCGATAGCCTTTAACTCGTTTCCATACAAATCTAGTTAGACCGGCTATTAGGGTTACTGATATTTTTTGTTCCTTTGAACAAAAGAATAAATAAATAGAATAAAAACATGCGGTGACTCTCTTCCTACCCATGGGCAGCTCTTGCGGGCTCTCACTGCGTGCAGGCACTTAGCGCAGAGGAGCGTATGTGTTTAGCTCACTGAAGCCCTGGTTACCACCTCAGGGGGCTATTGTAAAACAAGTACGTTTTATGATCCACAACTATCATACTGATACGCCTCTCTGCAATTTAAAATAATGTCATTTCTGGCCCTAAGGACATTAATATAAAGGCCGGGTTATATTCCAGCCCAGCTTGCAAGCACAGTCTGATTCTAGATGGCATTTTGAGCTCATTTAAGAAACACAAACTCTCATTTCCAGAAGGGGACTTGGGGCAGGAAAGCACATCGTTTTACAGTCGAGCCAAAGGGACCTGCCTAAGTAAAATCCTTCTGGTGGCTTCTTCCAGTTGTAAAAGGAATGAGATGGGATGACATAAGCTGTAGAGTTCCTCTGTGGGCATGCTCTTCATGAAGAAAGCAAGTACTTACAAGCTTGCTGGGGGTAAAACTTCATACCCTATGGGCACCCTTCTGTAGGGTAGCACCCCAAATTCCTATGTATAGATCAACCACCTTTGCTGGGTGGTTTCCAGGATTCATACAGATATTACTGTGTGTTTTGCCATCCCTGAATTACTTGTGTGCCCTGGAAGCATCTGTGAAATCCATCTGCCCGACACACGCACCAGCGCTTGCCAGCCTCCTGTCTGACTGGATGACTGCAGGGAAGTGATAAGGAACGAATTATTCCCTTAGCATGATGTGCTGAAATAAAACG